AAGGAAATGTTGGTATTTCTACTCACCACTGAGTTCAGATTTAGGGACGAGGACTGATATTTGAAGGGAAATGTTGGTATTTCTACTCACCACTGAGTTCAGATTTAGGGACGAGGACTGATATTTGAAGGGAAATGTTGGTATTCCTACTCACCACTGAGTTCAGATTTAGGGATGAGGACTGATATTTAGAAGGAAATGTTGGTATTTTTACTCACCACTGAGTTCAGATTTAGGGACAAGGACTGATATTAGAAGGAAATGTTGGTATTTTTACTCACCACTGAGGTCAGATTTAGGGACAAGGACTGATATTAGAAGGAAATGTTGGTATTTCTACTCACCACTGAGTTCAGATTTAGGGACGAGGACTGATATTTAGAAGGAAATGTTGGTATTTTTACTCACCACTGAGGTCAGATTTAGGGACAAGGACTGATATTAGAAGGAAATGTTGGTATTTCTACTCACCACTGAGTTCAGATTTAGGGACAAGGACTGATATTAGAAGGAAATGTTGGTATTTTTACTCACCACTGAGGTCAGATTTAGGGACAAGGACTGATATTAGAAGGGAAATTTTGGTATTTTTACTCACCACTGAGTTCAGATTTAGGGGCAAGGACTGATATTTAGTGGGAAATGTTGGCATTTGTACTCACCACTGAGTTCAGATTTAGGGACGAGGACTGATATTTAATGGGAAATGTTGGTATTTCTACTCACCACTGAGTTCAGATTTAGGGACGAGGACTGATATTTGAAGGGAAATGTTGGTATTCCTACTCACCACTGAGTTCAGATTTAGGGATGAGGACTGATATTTAGAAGGAAATGTTGGTATTTTTACTCACCACTGAGGTCAGATTTAGGGACAAGGACTGATATTAGAAGGAAATGTTGGTATTTTTACTCACCACTGAGGTCAGATTTAGGGACAAGGACTGATATTTAGTGGGAAATGTTGGTATTTTCACTCACCACTGAGGTCAGATTTAGGGATGAGGACTGATATTTAGTGGGAAATGTTGGTATTTTTACTCACCACTGAGTTCAGATTTAGGGACAAGGACTGATATTTAGTGGGAAATGTTGGTATTTTCACTCACCACTGAGGTCAGATTTAGGGATGAGGACTGATATTTAGTGGGAAATGTTGGTATTTTCACTCACCACTGAGGTCAGATTTAGGGATGAGGACTGATATTTAGAAGGAAATGTTGGTATTCCTACTCACCACTGAGGTCAGATTTAGGGATGAGGACTGATATTTAGTGGAAAATGTTGGTATTTTCACTCACCACTGAGGTCAGATTAAGGGATGAGGACTGATATTTAGAAGGAAATGTTGGTATTCCTACTCACCACTGAGTTCAGATTTAGGGATGAGGACTGATATTTAGAAGGAAATGTTGGTATTTTTACTCACCACTGAGTTCAGATTTAGGGACAAGGACTGATATTTAATGGGAAATGTTGGTATTTTCACTCACCACTGAGTTCAGATTTAGGGACGAGGAATGATATTTGAAGGGAAATGTTGGTATTTCTACTCACCACTGAGTTCAGATTTAGGGACGAGGACTGATATTTGAAGGGAAATGTTGGTATTTCTACTCACCAGTGAATTCAGATTTAGGGACGAGGACTGATATTTGAAGGGAAATGTTGGTATTCCTACTCACCACTGAGTTCAGATTTAGGGATGAGTACTGACATTTAGAAGGAAATGTTGGTATTTCTACTCACCACTGAGTTCAGATTTAGGGACGAGGACTGATATTTGAAGGGAAATGTTGGTATTTCTACTCACCACTGAGTTCAGATTTAGGGACGAGGACTGATATTTGAAGGGAAATGTTGGTATTCCTACTCACCACTGAGTTCAGATTTAGGGATGAGGACTGATATTTAGAAGGAAATGTTGGTATTTTTACTCACCACTGAGTTCAGATTTAGGGACAAGGACTGATATTAGAAGGAAATGTTGGTATTTTTACTCACCACTGAGGTCAGATTTAGGGACAAGGACTGATATTAGAAGGAAATGTTGGTATTTCTACTCACCACTGAGTTCAGATTTAGGGACGAGGACTGATATTTAGAAGGAAATGTTGGTATTTTTACTCACCACTGAGGTCAGATTTAGGGACAAGGACTGATATTAGAAGGAAATGTTGGTATTTCTACTCACCACTGAGTTCAGATTTAGGGACAAGGACTGATATTAGAAGGAAATGTTGGTATTTTTACTCACCACTGAGGTCAGATTTAGGGACAAGGACTGATATTAGAAGGGAAATTTTGGTATTTTTACTCACCACTGAGGTCAGATTAAGGGGCAAGGACTGATATTTAGTGGGAAATGTTGGCATTTGTACTCACCACTGAGTTCAGATTTAGGGACGAGGACTGATATTTAATGGGAAATGTTGGTATTTCTACTCACCACTGAGTTCAGATTTAGGGACGAGGACTGATATTTGAAGGGAAATGTTGGTATTCCTACTCACCACTGAGTTCAGATTTAGGGATGAGGACTGATATTTAGAAGGAAATGTTGGTATTTTTACTCACCACTGAGGTCAGATTTAGGGACAAGGACTGATATTAGAAGGAAATGTTGGTATTTTTACTCACCACTGAGGTCAGATTTAGGGACAAGGACTGGTATTAGAAGGAAATGTTGGTATTTCTACTCACCACTGAGTTCAGATTTAGGGACGAGGACTGATATTTAGAAGGAAATGTTGGTATTTTTACTCACCACTGAGGTCAGATTTAGGGACAAGGACTGATATTAGAAGGAAATGTTGGTATTTCTACTCACAACTGAGTTCAGATTTAGGGATGAGGACTGATATTTAGAAGGAAATGTTGGTATTTTTCCTCACCACTGAGGTCAGATTTAGGGACAAGGACTGATATTAGAAGGAAATGTTGGTATTTCTACTCACCAGTGAATTCAGATTTAGGGACGAGGACTGATATTTGAAGGGAAATGTTGGTATTCCTACTCACCACTGAGTTCAGATTTAGGGATGAGTACTGACATTTAGAAGGAAATGTTGGTATTTCTACTCACCACTGAGTTCAGATTTAGGGACGAGGACTGATATTTGAAGGGAAATGTTGGTATTTCTACTCACCACTGAGTTCAGATTTAGGGACGAGGACTGATATTTGAAGGGAAATGTTGGTATTCCTACTCACCACTGAGTTCAGATTTAGGGATGAGGACTGATATTTAGAAGGAAATGTTGGTATTTTTACTCACCACTGAGTTCAGATTTAGGGACAAGGACTGATATTAGAAGGAAATGTTGGTATTTTTACTCACCACTGAGGTCAGATTTAGGGACAAGGACTGATATTAGAAGGAAATGTTGGTATTTCTACTCACCACTGAGTTCAGATTTAGGGACGAGGACTGATATTTAGAAGGAAATGTTGGTATTTTTACTCACCACTGAGGTCAGATTTAGGGACAAGGACTGATATTAGAAGGAAATGTTGGTATTTCTACTCACCACTGAGTTCAGATTTAGGGACAAGGACTGATATTAGAAGGAAATGTTGGTATTTTTACTCACCACTGAGGTCAGATTTAGGGACAAGGACTGATATTAGAAGGGAAATTTTGGTATTTTTACTCACCACTGAGTTCAGATTTAGGGGCAAGGACTGATATTTAGTGGGAAATGTTGGCATTTGTACTCACCACTGAGTTCAGATTTAGGGACGAGGACTGATATTTAATGGGAAATGTTGGTATTTCTACTCACCACTGAGTTCAGATTTAGGGACGAGGACTGATATTTGAAGGGAAATGTTGGTATTCCTACTCACCACTGAGTTCAGATTTAGGGATGAGGACTGATATTTAGAAGGAAATGTTGGTATTTTTACTCACCACTGAGGTCAGATTTAGGGACAAGGACTGATATTAGAAGGAAATGTTGGTATTTTTACTCACCACTGAGGTCAGATTTAGGGACAAGGACTGATATTAGAAGGAAATGTTGGTATTTCTACTCACCACTGAGTTCAGATTTAGGGACGAGGACTGATATTTAGAAGGAAATGTTGGTATTTTTACTCACCACTGAGGTCAGATTTAGGGACAAGGACTGATATTAGAAGGAAATGTTGGTATTTCTACTCACCACTGAGTTCAGATTTAGGGATGAGGACTGATATTTAGAAGGAAATGTTGGTATTTTTACTCACCACTGAGGTCAGATTTAGGGACAAGGACTGATATTAGAAGGAAATGTTGGTATTTCTACTCACCACTGAGGTCAGATTTAGGGACAAGGACTGATATTTAGAAGGAAATGTTGGTATTTTCACTCACCACTGAGGTCAGATTTAGGGACAAGGACTGATATTAGAAGGAAATGTTGGTATTTTTACTCACCACTGAGGTCAGATTTAGGGACAAGGACTGATATTAGAAGGGAAATTTTGGTATTTTTACTCACCACTGAGGTCAGATTAAGGGGCAAGGACTGATATTTAGTGGGAAATGTTGGCATTTGTACTCACCACTGAGTTCAGATTTAGGGACGAGGACTGATATTTAATGGGAAATGTTGGTATTCCTACTCACCACTGAGTTCAGATTTAGGGACGAGGACTGATATTTAGAAGGAAATGTTGGTATTCCTACTCACCACTGAGGTCAGATTTAGGGACGAGGACTGATATTTAGAAGGAAATGTTGGTATTTTTACTCACCACTGAGGTCAGATTTAGGGACAAGGACTGATATTAGAAGGAAATGTTGTTTTTTCTACTCACCACTGAGTTCAGATTTAGGGACGAGGACTGATATTTAGAAGGAAATTTTGGTATTTTTACCCACCGTTTAGGTCAGATTTAGAGACGTGGACTGATATTTAGTGGGAAATGTTGGTATTTCTACCCACCATTGAGGTCAGATTTAGAGACGAGGACTGATATTTGAAGGGTAATATAATGTTGGTATTTCTACTCACCACTGAGGAGGAGCTTCTGGAAAGAGGACGGATGTTGGATGTATGTTAAGGACATGTTCGTCTCTCACTGTCTTGTAAACACCAGTATAGTGCAGCTTGGCAGCATTGGAGAAGAAACTGGCTGTGATGCATCTTCTGATTGCATCAACATTGTCTGAAACAACAATGTTGTTACCAGCTTAGTTACTTTGCATAACGCGCATATGATTGACAGCTAGTTCTTTTTCTTTTATTACCTATGTTTTGAGCTGTTAACATGATGGACTTCACAAGTATGGCTAAACTATGAGCGTGACCATCAATTTGGCTAATCTTTGGGCCGAGCTCATTTTTGCTTATATAAGATAAGCCTGTCTCAAAGAATTGCTCCTGGTCTAATACTAACATGGGAAACATGCTTCCTGAAAACATCTAACATTTTGAAATTTGACAAATTTATGCCACACCTCTCCAAGCGTTGAATGAACTCAAGAACTGAATCCTGATTCAAAGTGCCCTTTGCCTACAACAATTAACACAGGTTGCCCTTCTAACCTGAATGCCTACTACAATTAAAACAGGTTGCCATTCTACCTGAATGCCTACTACAATTAACACAGGTTGCCATTCTACGTGAATGCCTACTACAATTAACACAGGTTGCCATTCTATCTGAATGCATACTACATTTAACACAGGTTGCCCTTCTAACCTGAATGCCTACTACAATTAAAACAGGTTGCCATTCTACCTGAATGCCTACTACAATTAACACAGGTTGCCATTCTACGTGAATGCCTACTACAATTAACACAGGTTGCCATTCTACGTGAATGCCTACAACAATTAACACAGGTTGCCATTCTACCTGAATGCCTACTACAATTAACACTGGTTGCCATTCTACCCGAATGCCTCCTACAATTAATGCAGGTTGCCCTTCTACCTGGATGCCTACTACAATTAAAACAGTTTGCACCTCGACCTGAATGCCTACTACAATTAACACAGCTTGCCGTTCTATCTGAATGCATACTACAATTAAAACAGGTTGCCATTCTACCTGAATGCCTACTACAATTAACACAGGTTGCCATTCTACGTGAATGCCTACTACAATTAACACAGGTTGCCATTCTATCTGAATGCCTACTACAATCAACACAGGTTGCCCTTCTAACCTGAATGCCTACTACAATTAAAACAGGTTGCCATTCTACCTGAATGCCTACTACAATTAACACAGGTTGCCATTCTACGTGAATGCCTACTACAATTAACACAGGTTGCCATTCTATCTGAATGCATACTACAATTAACACAGGTTGCCCTTCTAACCTGAATGCCTACTACAATTAAAACAGGTTGCCATTCTACCTGAATGCCTACTACAATTAACACAGGTTGCCATTCTACCTGAATGCCTACTACAATTAACACAGGTTGCCATTCTACGTGAATGCCTACAACAATTAACACAGGTTGCCATTCTACCTGAATGCCTACTACAATTAACACAGGTTGCCATTCTACCCGAATGCCTCCTACAATTAATGCAGGTTGCCATTCTACCTGGATGCCTACTACAATTAAAACAGTTTGCACCTCGACCTGAATGCCTACTACAATTAACACAGGTTGCCATTCTACCTGAATGCCTACTACAATTAACACAGGTTGCCATTCTACCCGAATGCCTACTACAATTAAAACAGGTTGCCCTTCTATCTGGATGCCTACTACAATTAACACAGGTTGCCCTCTACCTGAATGCCTACTACAATTAATACAGGTTGCCCTTCTAACCTGAATGCCTACTACAATTAAAACAGGTTGCCATTCTACCTGAATGCCTACTACAATTAACACAGGTTGCCATCTACCTGAATGCCTACTACAATTAACACAGGTTGCCCTCTACCTGAATGCCTACTACAATTAACACAGGTTGCCCTTCTATCTGGATGCCTACTACAATTAATGCAGGTTGCCCTTCTACAAAGAAGATGATAACGGCTATAACAGACGACCTGGTCGATCAGATAATGAAAAGATTTCGAGATTTCATCCCTAACAGACAAACAAAACAACAGATGACCATATTAAAGATATTTATTACTGCCACGTTTCAGTCTCACAATAATAGAGGCATACAGACTACACAGTATCAAGTAACACTGCATATCGCAGTAACATGAAACACTCAGCAGGAGTTGTCTGTATCTTATACACTGAGACAATTACTTTTACTATTTGTCCCCTAATTTCAGAGCAAACTCGATGGTCGATGTCTTTGGCACGTTTTCGGAACCTGGATGTTGATTTTGTAAAACATTCTCTGATTTGTCTTTTGATATGTGCGATAGTCCTCTCAGTGTAGCACAAAAAAGTAGGTCTGAAATGGCAAGGGTGAAAACGTGCACATGCCTGAATGTAAATTATCTTATGTCCATGTTAGAATGTTGAGATCTGATTGGTTCCTATGATCTTGATATAATACCATGTCCCGCCTTGGGGGGAAACAAATTTCTGAGCTGGAGAATAAATCCCTTTACCCTGACCATGATGAAAACAGGCTACACGTGGAAACAACTTATTTGGACAACTTATTTGGAGATAAAGAAGATTATAATAAAAAGACCCGTCACTTACAATGAAATTAACTGGTTTAGGAAATCACAATTATACACTGTTTAAGATCAAAAGGTTTCATGTGTATGTAGGAAAAGCAACTTACAAGTTGTCTGGCTGAGAGTAGTTTGAACCTTCAATTGGGTTTACTCAATTTATTGTGGATTAACACTATAGTATATAACTAGAGTCAATCATGATGGGTTGGATACTATGCAGGCAACTCCACCAGTTCCGAGAGCTGAAGACTTCAATGACTATATGGTTATCAACTGGGTTGACGATGATGCTCGGTTTCCAATACCTCTGTGTGTACTATTTATTTATACCAGTGGTATATGAGTAATTAAATTGTCTTCATTGTATTCAAACTGTTTTGTTTTGTTGTATGTTGTACACTTAATTAATTGGACTGTTCCAATCAATGCCCAACAGGTAATAGCCAGGAGATTAGTGGTGCAGTGGACCATAAACTTTGTTGTTTTAAGCTGTAGAAGTTTTGGCATGTAGAAGTTTTGGGAGGACACCGTGCTAACTGCTAACCTGGCAAAGTGCACTTCTCCCAAATTATCATTTAATATGTTAACAATTTATTTAATTTTTTAGTTGTATCTTTTTGTTTCTCTGACCCACCAAAGATGGAGAAGTGAGGCAAATTTAAAAAATGTATACTATTATTTGTTTTTCTGATAATATTTTTGGCATCAGCATAATTATTTAAACCAAAATAACAAATGGTGTTGCGTTCTTATTCACCAGTTCAATGGGGCCTTCATTATGTTGACCAATATGAAAACACCTCATCTGCCAAATAACCATTCACTATAACAGACTTAAGCATGCCCTGACGATCAGAGAGGATTACTGTTTACATGATACCTTTTAATCATAACATTACTTGATTAATAAAAAAAATATTGTTAATTTTTCTTTTTTCTCATTTTCAAATTGCTAAGCGACAATCTAAAACTACATATGAAGGGAATAGCACTGTACAGAAAATATATTAGAAAACATTTGCCTAATAGCCAACCCGAATAATATCTAACACTTTGAAAAATGTCCAACAGGTAAGGAGCTGTCAGACAAAATGGCGTATCCTGTGTGATTGAAACCTTCTGATTGGTCAGCCAGGTTGTTTGATTGACAGGTGGCTACAGGTTAATCATGTCTGCCACTCATCATTAGTAGCCTCGTTACACAGGCGGCTACCTTCCTCCTTGATCAGCTGCTCTCAAAACTCCCCTCAACACGTTTTTCTCGCCCCGATGTTCTACATTGACTATTTCAAATACAGACATACCGTATTCGACGTAATAAGTGCCCAGGGCGCTCTCAAAATTAGGAATGGGGGGCTGTTATTAGAATATTATTTTGGTGGAAAAAAAACAGAGTTGAAAGATAAATTCCGTGGTTTATGCTGACAGCCTGAAATGTTTATGTACGACAGATATATTTTTCCAGAATTATATTGCCCCAGGAATGGGGGGCTGTTATTAGAATATTATTTTGGTGGAAAAAAAACAGAGTTGAAAGATAAATTTCGTGGTTTATGCTGACAGCCTGAAATGTTTATGTACGACAGATATATTTTTCCAGAATTATATTGCCCATAATTAAGGGTGCATATAATACACGAGTGTGTCTTATACGCGAATAAATAAGTCTTGTGTACATTGATCAGTTGGAAGGGGTTCTAATTGGGATTGTTCACTTGCCAATATATTAGCAAATTTGGCCGTGGGCGCTTATTGGAGCGGGGCGCTTATTACGTCGAATATGGTACATCAGAATCTTAAAACAATTTCTACTAGCTTTGGTACCAATCACATAACATTCTATGGGGTGGGGGCTGGAATATTTGTTTGAGACAGAATACTGTTTGAGCTAACGATTCAAAGTAGACCATTTGTTTTCTCTGGAAAAACAATTGTTTTAACACACATTGCAGGTATTTTTCAGAATATTGAGACTATATAGTAAATAAAATTAATATTTTCCAGCCTTTTCCGGGGATATAGTAAAAAATAAATTAAAGTTCCCACCCAAAATATCAACTGGTAGGCCCCTTACATTAAAGACGCTGTTTACACCTCAGCACAGTAGCCGTCATTGAGATACTACTCCAAATGTTTTAATAATTTCCCTGAACATTTTAACATTGTAGAAAAGTAAAATAGGTGATGATTTATTTGTTTGTTATTTAACGCTGCACTGAGCAATATTCCAGCTATATGACAGCGGTCTGTAAATAATCGTGTCTGGACCAGACAATCCAGTGATTGATGTCATGAGCATCGATCCTCGCAACTGGGATACGATGACATGCATCAACCAAGTCAGCAAGCCTGACCACCCGATCCTGTTAGTCGCCTCTACGACAAGCATAGTCGCCTTTTACGGCAAGCATGGGTTGCTGAAGACCAATTCTACCCCGGATCTTCACGGTCAAATAGGTAATGAGCCCCAATCAGGATCAGCCATGCAATTTGGTCAAAACATGCATTTTTCATGTAAAAACATACTTTCATGTACATAGTATTT